TCCATGTCAGGATTCCACGGCGAACACGCAGGGATTAGAGAACGACCGGAAGTGAGGGGGCGCAGACAAATAACAGGACCCGCGCGAGCACAGATGGACTTTATGGATGGCGCCCGAGCGCCATCACCATCTAGCCTCGTCCCGGAGGATTTTTGGGCAGAGAGGGTGGCACGGCTGCCCCACCCTCCCAGTTTGTCTTCAGTCAGCTCATGGAGCTGTGCAAAAATTTGGAAGCAAATTCCTCGCATCGCGTTGCAAGTGGTAACTTTTCTTCTAATGGACGTGAGACTCGTATAAGTAACCAACAACCTAACGAACAGTTATCTACCGACGGAAGTGGCAGGCGTGCTGCGTACATCCGACGAGTTTACTTCTCGACGAAACCAAGAAAATCTTTACGGAAAATAACCTGTTCACAACAGCAGGGAAATTCTGGCAAACACAAAACCGACACGTGCATTTGTGATTTGGACTAGAATAGTCAACACTACAGCTAATTCGCTCCAGCGGCACCTGACTCACTGGCATTTCGCCAAATTTTGTTACACCCCTTCTATCCAGCCATATGGTCCACTATAACACCAGAAAACACCAGAAAAGACCATCAGCACATAACGATGAATCATCCCTAATAAGTTGAACGAGCTATAAGCTCGTTCAATAACACAGCTCACGCAAAAACTGCGGCGTCGTAGAACACGCCCACCCAGGACGACAGAATCGTCACACAAGCGCCCTTCACTCTAGCAGGAACAAAACTGTCGAGAAATTTTCGGAAGGAGCACATAGGGTCACAACTCTTTGCACTAGTTAATGCGCTATAAAGGTTTCCCAATCATTACTCATGAAAAATTTCATGTAATCATGAGCTATCGATCGATATCGATTGAGGGTCCACGAGAGATATCGATTGATATTATTGGTTTTTGCGCACAAAGCCACCGATCACACTGTTCAAGTGGCCCAGTTGTAAAAACTTGGACTGAGGAACTTCTTGCAGTTATCCTCAACCACTCTGCCGAGGAACTCGACTATCAATAAGCTGAGGCTCCACGCGACGGTGGGGCGTTCCCTACGACCACGCTGGCGAGCGTTCCGGTGATTGCGTGTCGATGGGAAACCGAAAACTTTCAGGAGATTATCATCATTGCCTCTCGTCTCTACTCTGGCACTCTGACGCTCTGTACAAGCACCGCCGCAACCGTCCTACCGCACTCTCCGCTCTGACTCTTACGATCGATAATTGCTGACGCTCTCGATCAGCTGATTCCTGCCGCATTTTCGCAGTATTTTTGCTAGATTCAGCTTGTTAAAGCTGAAATTTTTCGACTTTTGACCTCAATGTTCGAAGGTGAGTACCCTTACTGAAAGTATTCCACATTTTGAATGTATTTGCATGAAATTCCGCGAACTTGTTTTCTTTCTGATTTTCGCAATTTCTCCAAACTTTTCCTTAATATCCCCATTTATTTATGATATTGACCGAGTTTTCAAAGCAGTGTCTCAGATGATCTCGCTATTATCGAGAACCATCTCTGAACTTTTTTTGAAGCTCGAAGTTGTCTTAATGGTTCGCTTTTCCATGCTAAAATTCCCAACTTCAATTTTTTTCTTTCCCAATTTAATCTAAATTATGCAAAATGTGATATAATTTCAGTAAGAATACTCATCTTGAACATTGAGTCAAAAGTCGAAAATTTCAGCTTTAACAAGCTGAATCTAGCAAAAATACTGCGAAAATGCGGCAGGAATCAGCTGATCGAGAGAATTATCGATCGGTAAGAGCCCATAGCGGAAGAGTGGGTAGACGGTGCGGCGGCGTATGCTAGAGCGCAGACTAGTGGCGGAGTACAGAACGCGAGGGCAGGTTTGCGCCATCCACCGAAAAGGCAACTATCGGTCCGTCTCGCCAGGTGGCCTTAGGATCCGGCCCAGTCCGCTTGAAGAACTGCACTTAAAATATGTGGTTTAGGACTATAGTGATTGAATAAAAATTCGAAATTATATAGAGAAGATTTGGAAAAGGGGACTCACCACTAGACTCATGTACTCCTCCCTGGCCCCAGTAAATGACTACACGGAGCGAAGTTTCTTCGTAAAGTTTTCCAGTTCTAGAACAAAAAGAAATATTGAGTACACGCAAACCAAGCTTCGCGGCACCACTCTCCTAGCGAGTTCGATAGCATGAAAAACGAAAATTTAGGCACTGCTTACCCTTACAGCTCTGATTTCAGGCACCTTTCATAGTTGGCTACACCAGTTATCAGGACACGTCCTGCCGTTGGGGAGAACGTTGGGAAATATAACTCCCTCCAGGATTTGCCTCCTACCACCTTCCCCAACCCCCACTTTACCTACCCTACCTACGACCTTCCTGAATCTCCCAACTTCCTACAACTTTTCCGGAGACTGAGCTTTTTTGAAAATCCTTTAGTTTCTCCCTCAGAAACCCAAAAAGTGCCGTGGAGCGGAGGGGCTGTATGGCGCAATGCGTGGTGTACATAGCGTTTTTTAGCGACGTGACGGCATTTTTTTCTAAAAGGCAACTACCAACTCCCTTCCAACGACCAAACACATCGCCTGAGGACCTCCAACCCGTGACCTGCTCCGCCAGCAATTGCTCATCTCCTAAACGCACGATCGATACGTATCTCATTCGTCTAGTAAAGCAGCTCATGGAACTCCCCAGCTATGACTATGATTTTCACTATTTTTAAAATTTTGAGTCAGTCCCCTGGTCTGCGCTCATTGAACACAAGCACCCTTTTTGGCGCTATACGGCGCCTGCACTACAGAGCTGGTGATACAACTCAAAGTGCCAAATTTGCTGGCAGGCTTGTCCTCATAGGACAAATGCTCAAGTCACGAGCAACAGAGACTTACTCAACGGATACTCGCGTCCGAGGGTCAAGCTTCCTCTAGAATGAAGTTTCAGAAAAACTGGTGATTGAAGTTTTTTTTGGGTTTAGCGACCAAACTACTCCAGGGACAAGTCCATTGCCAAAAAAATTAGGCCCAAATTTGGAAAGTAGGGTCACAATGGGCAGTAGAGTGAAAATGTGAGTAGGAAACTCACTATTGCTCCGCTGCTTCCTTCACTCAAAATTTCTCCGCAACCATAGCAGAACGATGTTCCACAAGAGCAATACACATGATTGCAGCCTTCCTCGACCTGGAAGAAACCGACAGTATAACCTCTTGGGGAGCGCCATGTAACCTACCTCCATTTAAAATTGTAGAGGACTATTTCAGCACCGGTGTCCTTTACCGTCCCAAACATGTTTGGTACGAAATTGCCCACACCAAGAGTGAAAAAACCGCAGTACATTCCAGCGCAAACAGGTCTCATGGCGCTGATTTCTTGGGGCCGTTTTAGACTGTCAATTTTTTGATTAATGGCATGTCCACGCTTTCGCAGAAGAGGCGAGAGACCACCTACCCATTTGGCCTTTTGCAATGGTGCACCCCTTTTGTTTGCCGTCCCAGAATGAGGGGCGCACAGATGAGGAAGGCACCATGGTTGACTGTCTCCGCCCACACGACCAATGTGCACTGGGCTTTGAATCGAAATTCCATGAAGACATACTATGATAGCGATTCCACATGCCGGACAATTTCTGGTGTACTTCTCGAGCCATTCTCGGGACCTCTGCTCGCCACGTCCCATTGCCTCGTCCATGGCTGCCTGCAAGAAACACTAAATTCCTAGCCTGACAAAATCGACCTAACACTCTATTGCTGGGGTGTAACGCGCTTGTTCCCTCTGGGCCTGCACCGGAAGATGGGGTTTCTGTACAAACAGTGAGAAGTACTTGAAATTCATTCACAGTATACAAACTCTGCCCCCAATGGTAAGCTCCACCCGCTTGGCAAAAGTGTATATTTTTTAGAAACTTTCGACATTTTCAGCTTCTCTTGAACCTGGGAGACGGGCAAAAGAGTCATAATTTGCCGCCCCCACTAGGGCGGCGAACTACGATCCTCTTGTCACATACCCCTTGAACCTAGTTATGCCCACGTCAAGCCCCGCCCTCCGTGGTGATTTTCGCCC